TCCTCAGTAGCAGAGGTGGCTGATGAACCCATCCCCAACCCCAGCAGAGAAAGTAGATGGTGCCTGGTGGTATCTCAAAGGATGGAGATGTGATAAAGGGGGCTATGGCCAATGGTTCTGGAGTAATTCATCTCCTTCTGGTAGGCAGACAGCAGGGATTTACCAGCAGTGCAGGACCCAGCATCCTCCCAGATGGATGCAGAAATGCTCCACGATGACTTGGCTTTTTAGCCATTTGAAAGAAAACAACTCCCAAAGCCCACCTGGTCAGCCTGGAGGAAGCAGTGGTGCCACCCGTGATTGCCTCAGCCCCAATGAGTTTCTTGTTCCAGCAAAGAAAATCAATGGCTTGCATGGCTAATGGCATCAGAGAGTTTCTGCCTGTCGATAGCACTTAGGCACTGGCAGTCTCCAGGAGATGCCCAGATGTGCTTCCCAGCACAGTGGCTTTTTGGGAGCCTCTCAGCAGTGTTCCTTCTCTCAGAGCAGTTGCGGGATGCCGGGACAGCAGCATCACCTCTTGTCACTAGCATCACCTCCCATAGGAACCAGGAGGCCACTGGCTGCCTGCCTGAGCACAGGGCTCCCTCCTTAGCAGCAGCTCTGCCTGTTGATAATTAATCAGAGCAATTAGGGTGAGGGCTGTAATTAGCTCTGGTTAGTGCAGTGTCCCTTCCTAGGGCAGCTGGTGAGCAAAGACCCCTTTGCAGCCCCTCTGCCCCTTCAAATCACCCATAGCCCCATCACTCCAGCAATGGGGAAGCCAATGTGAAGATACACATACACCTGCTCATAGGGGGTCTCCGGGGGGCAGAATGAGCCTCTTATCTTGGGGACACCTCCACGTCCTGCTGGGTCTCATCAGTGTGTGGTCCACAGGGCTCAGCTGCCCTGCCCTTGGCCAGGATTGTTCCTGTGCTTCCGGAACAAGGTCACGTCCCTGAGATGCAGGAAGAGAGCATCCAGCTGCAGAGCTATCAGCAACAGCCCATGCAAACAAGCCACTTTCTCCGTGGCGTTCCTTTGATGGGTTTTCCAGCCCTCGGGAAGGAGGAGGCTTCCTGGTTGCGGCCTCAGGGTGGGGTGACAGCGGTCGTTGCCCCCATGAACTGGAACTTAGTGTCCAAGTGCCTGTTTTGGAGTTTTCTGGAGTGGTTTTCCTTAAATGCTGAAGTAGTTAAACCACAAGGGAGCAGAGCTGCAGCCAGGGTGCAGTTAGGGAGGGGATCAGCTGAGGACGCCCTAAAAGCCTGGCATAGCCCTTGTGTGGACTCACAGATGCCTTTGCCAGGATGGGCATGGCATGGATGCCCAGATGTGCACAGCTGCCTGCCTCGTCCTTCTGTCTTACCCTGCCCTGGACAGACCCTGCTTTGGGGCTGGGACAACTGGTTTTGGGGCTTTGGTTGCCGCAGGGGGTTTAGATGGGAACAGGGCAACCTGGGGCTCCCTGTGGGCTGCAGTTTAGGTGGAGGTTTGCACCATGGGTGGTGGTGTTGGGCTGTCAGCCATCTCCTAAACTTGAGAGGGAGCTGAACTGGAAGGAGAGGAGGGAGGGACGGGAAGGCAGCTCCACTGATAAGATGCTGCTTGACAGATACAGCGTGGAAACAGATGCTACCGGCTGCAGATGTAATGAGATACGTAAATACCCAGACTTGCTCAAGTAAATGCCAGCATCCGCCGTAAGGATGAGCTCGGGAGCTCCTGGTGCTGCTGACTGGGTGCCAGCAGCGAGCACAGAGCAGGTGGATTTGGAGGGATGAGGAGAAGAGAGATGCTCTGTGACAGAAGAAGGTGGGAAGATGTGGGAAGGTGGCATGTTAACACTGTGCCATGTTTATCCCCTGGGCGATGCCTGTGGCCAGGGCTGTGCTGCAGCACCCAGCAGGGACCATGCTCTGGGCTGTGCTCACCATCAGGGCTGGGCTTTGGGGTGTTTTCTATGTACCTAAAAGTAACGATACACCCCACGTGCTTCGAGAACTGCCTGTTCATCCCAGCACTGTTCTCATGTATGCTTTGATTTCTTAAACCCCCCTTGAGTGCTGGGATAGTAAAAAACCTGTGTCCTGGGAGGGACCTTGCTGAGGTGGGCACAAGGAGCGCACCAAGGTGTGAGAAGGCTCCTCAGCACATCTCCAGGGAGCAAATAACCCAGGGACCATTTACAGCAGCACAATTGTCCTCTCCCAGGGCTATTCCTGCCTCTTACTTTGCTCCAACATCAGCCCAATCCATCCTCCATTAAAACCAATGGCAAGACTGTCATTTAGCATCAGCTGGAATTGATTTTACATCCAGCACAACAATGAGTGATTTTCCTTTCTCCCTCCAGACCTCTCTGATCTTTTGCCACTCTCCTTCCAGCTCCCTCAGTCCCACAGCTTTGCTGGGTGGTTTTCTCTTTACATTTTTGCCAGTTTCCTGAAATGCATCTAAAGGAAGGCAAAGCAGGAGGTTCAACTAACTCCAACGTGCCCTCACAGCTCATCAAAGCAAATGCAGAGCTGCCAGGGCAGCACAGCCCCTGGGCTGAGACACCGGCCTCATAGGACGGACACACTCATCTCTTTAGGCAGCATATTTTAATCCATATATACAAACACTCTACTGGTTGCATCAAGTTATCACTTTTGCCAGAGCATCTTTCTTCTCAAACATCTCCTGTACACACTGTAATGGCAATTCTGGGAGTGTGGGCTCAATGGTGAGGGACAGGCGAGTGGTTATGTGAGCAGGTTTTGAGTTTTACTACAAATTCCTGTTGCAGAATCACTACTTTAAGTGATTTGGAAGAAAATGAAAAATGCAGAGGGGAGGTTAAGCCAACTTGCTGGTGGCTGCGGGCACAATGCACCGTGCTTGCTGTGCCTCAGTTTCCCCATAGCTTCATGTTTCCCCCCAGAACTGCTGCCTTCCATGCCTGTCACCATGGTGTCTGGCCCCTTCCTGGAGACAGGAATTCTGGCAGCATGGCTATAGGGAAGTGAGAGGTGAAATAAGCCCCCTCAGACAGTTCATTTTCCCTCTCTGCTCTGCTCTCCCAGCCCTGCCATAGCATTCACCATAGAATCATAGAATCACAGAATGGTTTGGGTTGGAAAGGACCTCAAGATCACCCAGTTCCAACCCCCTGCCATGGGCAGGGACACTTCACACTAGACCATGTCACCCAAGGCTCTGTCCAACCTGGCCTTGAACACTGCCAGGGATGGAGCATTTACCACTTCTCTGGGCACCGTGTGCCAGCGCCTCACTGCTGGCTCCCAGAGATGTATTTTTCTCCTCTTCTTCCTCCCATACACAAAGCCCGGATTACTGTTAAACTTTAACCATGCTGTCACTTCATAGTGCAAAGGCAGGATGAGGGGTGGGAGTTTGCTGGTGGGAGAGTGTCTGATCCATCCCCTGATCCCGTGTTACATTTCTTGGAGCAGATTTGACCCTTCCTTGCCGGAAAGGCTATTCCATGGGATCCAGGGTCCTGCAGCTGATTGCAGAGTTCAATTATTGAGCTCTCTCAGAAGGAGTAGCATGTCTCTGATAGAGTCTTTCCTGCGATGACCTCTTCAGTGGCACTTCCTTCAAAACAGCATTTGCCACCACAAGAGACTTCCTTTCCCACCACTGCTGCTCCAAATCCCAGACACTGAATGTGGAGCAAAACCAGCCTGCAGCTCATTTAAGCTGAGCAGGGCAAAGAGTAACAGAGGGCAAGTTTTTGGTCTTTGAAGCTTTCTCTAAGGTGTTTGTTACCACATTCGTTAATGTGATGTTAATGGATATCACATTAATTAAAGGAGCCTCCGTGTTTCCATCTTGAGCCAAGGAAACACGGAGGCTCCTTGGATTCTCCCAGTGTCTGCCTGGGGATTTTCCTTCCCCACCATTTCTTTGTGTGTATACCACTGCTTGGACCAGTGGCTCAAGTTAGTGGCAAAGATGGAAGAAGCAGCTGGAGGCTGGAGCAAGGTGCCCTCAGCCCAGGCTGTGCAGGGAACGTGTTCTGGGATGCATGGAGGGAAGCAATGCCCTTCTGCTTCTGGAGTGTGCCATCACCCCGCTGCAACTTGCAGGCTGTGTAATGGAAAGATCCTGATAGCTGAAGTCAGCAGCACATTCGGGAAAGCCCAGCTCTGTGTAAACAGG